TAGTCAATTATTTTTCTGTTTAGCGTTTCTTTTTTAGCGAGTTGAATTTCTACGGGATGGAGTTGTTAACCCACCATGCCCAATCCTCCTCCTTTATCCGGGCTTGTAACTGTGTTATACTCGTCACCAGTTGATATGTTTGAAACTATTATGAGTTCATCTTAGTCGGTAAATGAGAGTGAAGACAACTGATCCAGTGGCACGATAGGCTACTCTAATCCGAGCGTCCCAATGCCCCATCAACTAGAGGAACAAGTTTTGATATGGCGTAGAAGCTGTATTCTACAAAAATACAGAAAGTATGAGGTTGACAAGCATACAAATCGAGTTTATTTATACATGGTAGAAACACCCTTGAGAGTGCCACAAAATAGCGTACTAAAATAATCAATCAACCAATGACAGTCAAAGATTTTCCGAGCGAGGAATGTAATCTCAAGGTCAACTTATCAGCCCATGCGAGAAAATCCAAAATTAGGACCTTAATCAAGTGAGTTCTGGGGATCTAACGTCCCCAACAGACTTGGAGTAACCCTAGAAGGGCTTCAGGTGGAGTTATTAGGAAGACATAGAATTTATCTGGGGAAAAAAGCAGTGCAATTTAAGCAATACATTCCGATTATATTTTAGTCACATATATGCACTTTTGAAGGCTTGACAGGAACACATAATTGAATAGAACTTGTAAATTTTCTACAATTTTCACAAAACCCCTATAACCTAACCACAAATTTTTAGCTCACTTAATGACTTCATCAGTTTACTGAATATCTAATAAGATGTTTTGATTGGTTGAGAGTTTCAAACAGGTAGGCAGTTAAACAATCCGAAACAATAAGGACATTGGATGTTCATCGTGTTGCGTTGCAAATCAATTAACCGTGAAATCGCATCATTTAGTTCTGATCCAATAGTAGTCTCAGTGGTTAAGCGTTTACCATATGATCGTGTTTCAACCCCTAGTATGTTGGTTGATGAACACTGATGAATAGCTCTTTACTAAGATGAAACAAATATCCAGTACTTTCTGGTTTTCAGTTGTCCCCCCCCTAATAACTTACAAACCGAACCAATATCTATCAAACCCTTCAACTAAATCAAAGGAAGTTGTGTAACACAATATTTTGCTGAAACTTAAAAATCCATCCTTGATAATAGTGATAGAAGTTTTAAGAGCTCTTGTAAAGTTTTGTAAAGTTTACCCCTAGTGGAGCATAGGCCTCTGACCAGCATTCTCCGACATACTCTGTCTTGGGCCTTCCTTTCTAGTTCTGTCCAATGGTTCTTCATTCTTCTCATGTCTGTCTTCATTTTTTGGCGTAATGTGTTCTTTGGCCTTCCTCTTTTCTTTTGGCCTTGAGGATTTCAAGTGAAGGTTTGTCTTGTGATGCAGTGTGTGCACTATCCACTTCCCTCGTTTCTTCCTGATTTTTTGGTCTTCTGTAATCTGGCTTGTTCTCTCTCGTGGTAGGTTATTGCTGAAGGTGTCTAGCCAACAGATCTGCAGTATCCTGCGTATACAACTTTTAATAAACACATATAACTTGTGGATGATGGCTTTCGTAATTCTCCAAGTTTCCTCTCCATAGAGCGAAACTATCTCGACATTTGTATTTAAAATTGTGACTAGTGTTGATTGATAGTTGTTTCGAGTTTCAGATGTTATTCAATTTTACAATCGCTGCCGTTGCTTTGCCGATCCGCAACTTCACATCTAAATCGGCTCATCAATGATACTGAAATATTAAATCCACATAAACATATTGTAGTGAAGGAGAACACAGGTGAGGGCAACCGAATTGTATTTGACTCAAATTACAGAGTTTATTGGTAAAATAGAAAAACCATATCGTAAATCGTTCATTTGCACAATATCAGTTCATCATATCGAACTGGACTGTTCCTGTTGCAAAACATCAATCCATTGTCACTATTCATGCGTTTCATACAAATTCCATTGTGTTTCCACTCTTCCTTTCTTGATCTTCCCCCCATCTTCTGCTGCCAGACATTACGTTTTTACTCGCTTCTCATACTACTTATAAGTAGCGCGCACCGCAATATATCTAGCATTATTCCTACTAATTTCTTTCTTTACATTATTTAAATTGTTTGTTATGATAATAGTGATCGAGAAAAATAATATAAGTAAAATTTTTAAAATAATATTTAGCAATTAGGTAATAATATTGGTTTTGTAAGTATACAAAGATGTGATTCTAACGTTTGAAAACTGAACGGAATTCGACTATGTTCACTGGAATATTTTGATGATTTATGGGTTGGACTTCATGTGAAAGATTGTAAAGTTGTGCATTTTTCAAATAGTTTCAAACTAGTTTTTAAGTAGATATGCAACTCTTCTTAGGTTGATCTTTGAGTATACGTTGATAATAATCCGTGACTCCCACTACTCGTATAATTTGGACCCAGGACCTTAAGTTTTGCGCGTGAACGCCTGACTTCTGGATCACTGAGTTGGCCGGTATCCAACGGTGTTAATTAATGTTTAACTGCGATCGGTATAAGCTTTTTCACAACCTCACCGATTGTCTTTGCTAGTTACTACCTACATCCGACAGGGTTCAACTCCACTGGTCACATCTTACTAAAACTCCGAGAATTTCCTCACAAAATTAGTCACTAGCGAGCAAATTGTACGATTTTACATTATAGTGTTAAGAAGATTGTTGTTTATTATTGTTAGACCACGATTAGAAACTGGGAAGCATCGGATAGTCGTTTCATCCCAGTATGGTCCTCATTAGCAGTGAGCATCCATATATTAGGACGAAACAGCCACCCAGCGCGCTGTCTAACAATAATTGATTCATAATTTGAAGAATTTAACCATGTATAAAATGGAATCTATTCTGTTGTCTTTTTTTTTATTCTTTACATTATTGTTTGAATGAAACATTTTCCAAGTTTTCTAGTTATAAGTCGTAGTGCCTCCACCACATATATTCCAGTTTGCTTACATCTAACTTGGTTAAGCCCTTTCGATTAATTTATTTAACCAAGCCATTTGTATTGCAACAATTTATAATGTACCATTCGTTCTTATTATTGTCTGGTTTGTATGAGCTCACATGATGTGTCTCACTTGTCATTTGACCTTGTCAACCATTCGTCACTTTTACTCATGTGTGTGTATGTCTATCTCGTTGATCACATGTCTGTCTTATTTTTGTCTGACTGTATATTCTTGCTCATGCTCCTCTGTCTCTGGGATTTGGCTCATTAACCTTCTCCACATCGCTTCATACGGTTCGCTTCGGTCGCTCATTCGCTCGCCAATGTACACAAAAATGATGAGCCCGACGTGATATGGGCCACCAAAAATTTGGTGAGCCTGTCGTTCATTCATATCACTCCCCGATTTGCTCGCTCGATTCATTCGTCCATACGTCTTCACAGAAGATCAGTAAACACTTACTACAAAGTAATAAAATATCCTTTTCATACGATTTAAATCAATCTATCTACACTACAATATGTTTGAATTATATTTCTTTTTCTCTATACATAGTCCCTTCTAAATTGGCTCGTTTAGATCCTCAATTATTGTATATGTTAGCAGCACAACGTATTTATGATCTTTTGGGTGTAAACAATGAAAATGTAACTGGAAATTTAGATTTAATTTTGAATCCAATTTTTCCCAATGAAAATAATATTGGAGAGAATGCTAATATTAGTTATAAAAGAGAAAAAAAGACATCAAAAGTTCCGAGTACACCGGAAAGTTGTACTCGTGCACGAGCTGTACTAACACCTTGTGATGGAACGAATGGTAATGAAACTCGAATGCATTATAGACAGTTGACTGTTGGTACATGTAAGTTTTATTTTTGTTTTCAATTTTATACTTTAACTACTTGTAAGTAGCAAGGTTTTTTACTGTAAAATGTTACCCTGGATTCAATTACATCAAGTGTGTATATGAATCGGTTTTCTGTAAGTTAACCTTTTTCGTGAAACTATTGATCAGTCCATATCTTTTGAGGTGTATACCTGCTTGCGGACTGGCAAAGCAAGGGCTGAATTTCTACAGTTAAAAAATATCTGGAACTCCAAACAACTTTCAACCAAACCCAAAATCAGGATTTTCAATACCAATGTCAAGACAATCTTACTGTATGGAGCGGAAACTTGGAGAACTACCAAAGCCATGATCGATAAGATACAAGTGTTTATGAACAGTTGTCTACGCAAAATACTTCGTATTCGTTGGCCAGACATGATCAGCAACTACGTACTGTGGGGGAAAACAAACCAGATTCGAGTGGAGGAGGAAATCAGGAAGAAGTGGTGGAAGTGGATAGGACACACACTACGAAGAGCACCTAACTGCGTCACAAGATAAGCCTTTACATGGAACCCTCAAGGCATAAGGTAAAGTGGAAGGCCAAGGAATACATTACGCCGAGAAATGGAGAAAGGTATGAGAGGAATGAGGAAACAGTGAACAGAACTGTAGAGGGAAGCCCAGGACAGATTTGGTTGCAGAAAACTGTTGGGCAGCCTATGCTCAATTGGGGGTAACAGGCGTAAGTAAAAGTAAAAAATACCTGCTTATAATCGAAAGTTATTCAGCTTCTAATCACTCAACTTCTCAGTCTGAAACTTAGTCACTGAATTTTTCGAGTCCCACTAACTTTTGATAGAGCTGAGCTATTTACACTCATTAATTACTGAGTAATAGTAATTGGCGTCATGTTTGTTTCAATTTTTTATGTTGATTGAGTTATTTCGATCAAGGTACATCTTTTTTGACAAATACCAAATTCATCTCATCTTACCAATATTATCTCATTAGCTCAAACATTAATAATAATAGATACACAAACCCCTCAAATATTTACGTACAGTAGATCGAATGTGGCTAACAATAAAATCCGGGGCGCACGTTTCGTCTTAGTTGGGACTTGTCAGCTGGATGCACCTGCGTCTCACAGCTGATGTTCACTCTGAGCCTCGAACCCAGTATCGTTTACTTCAGAGTCCAGATTGCCGCTCACCTATGCATTGTGTATGAGATTTGATTCGGTTTGAAATGGTCCGTATTATCCTGTTGTTGATATTTCGACTGAGATTTAATCAGTCTTGGTTGGTTGTATATGGACATCCTATGCAGATAGGCTCGATGTAGCCATTATGACATAAGTTTACATAGAATAGAACTATTTCCTGCGTACTGCAAGCGATGAGTTCAGCTACGGACTTCTTTTTTTTTAAGTTCATAGTGCAAATTACATGTGATACTTGTTAATTCTGAGCATCAACTAATTTGAGTACCATGCACATATATTAAAGATACTATTCCTAACTTAGGTCTCATATGGTCGGACAAATAAAAATTTCCCTATTGAGACAAAAACGTGTCGCGACATGAGACAAACGGTGATAAGTGTGTTTGAGTGCATTTGCGTCAATCTGGGCTACATCTCTTGCTATTCTCTGTCATACAATATATACAATGAGTAATATTGCTATATAGGGCTGAAGGTTTCCTATGAGACCAGAGGTTCGGTATGATGAACATTGTGGATAGTTTGGCACTATATTAGCAAGTTTTGCCAATAGTCCATTTACAAATCAGGTTTTCTTAGTAACCGATTTCATTGGTACTAGTGATTGTTTTGCAACATTCCTGAGGATCATTGTCATTGGGACACGTTGTAAAACACATCATCATTACTGATATAAATGAATTTGACAATCATATCGGCGGGATGAATCAAATTAGCCTTTTCATACTGTGCATATCGGGCGTACTACCTGGTAACTGAACCAACGAATAAGTGAACACTTCCTAGCATGGTTAATCAGAGGCCAGTTAAAAACAATACGCAGTTGTATCTTGGAACATCTGGTTGATAGTAATCATATTTGTTATAATACCGCTACGTAGCTATTCAAATTCTACAGACGTCTGAATACAAATATTTCAATACGACCCAAATACTATTCTCAATCTCCCATATATCAGAACGCAACACCGTTGGATGGAGTTGTTTATTGTGTCGAATACAGAAGAGAGGTAGGCAGGAAGGAACGGAAAACATGAAGTCTTACAGATAGTGCGTATTTATACATTTAGGTCGAATAGGTTAGAGCATCAAAGTCTGTGACATTGACAGTTTAGGACGACCAATAGGAAAGAACATTTGAAATGACATTGACAGTCCGGATGACCAATCAGAGACAACATTGAAGTATTTGACTTTGACAGTTAAAACGACCATATTTTTGACCAATAGGATTATACTTCCAAAAATAGTACTCTTAGGATATTTGGTGAATAATATCCTAACAATATTGTAGATAAATCTGCATCGTTTCTACTGATCTATCTTGTGTATACACCTTCATCATTTCCCCAACAGAGTTCGATCCCATCTCCTACACACATAGCAAAAGCTATAGGGATTCATACATTCATTTACTTTCTTTGTGGACAGCTAGAACGCAGCTAGACGATCTGGACTTCGTAGATGACCTGGCTCTTCTGTCGCACACGCAACAACAAATGCAAGAGAAGACGACCAGTGTAGCAGCAGCCTCTGCAGCAGTAGGTCTCAACATACATAAAGGAAAAAGCAAAATTCTCCAATGCAACATAACATGCACCAACCAAATCACTCTTGATGGAGATGCCTCGGAGGACTTAAACACCTTTACATATCTGGGCAGCATCATCGACGAGAAAGGTGGGTCCAATGCAGATGTGAGGGTGCGGATTGGCAAAGCAAGGGCTGCGTTTCTACAGTTGAAAAATATCCGCAACTCCAAACAAATATCAAACAAAACCAAAATCAGGATTTTCAATACAAATGTCAAGACAGTTCTACTACTGTATGGAGCGGAAACTTGGACAACTACGAAAGCCATCATCCAGAAGATACAAGTGTTTATTAACAGTTGTCTACGCAAAATACTTCGCATTTGTTGGCCAGACACCGTCAGCAACAACGTACTGTGGGGGAAAACAAACCAGATTCCAATGGAGGAAGAAATCAGGAAGGAGCGGTGGAAGTGGATAGGATACACACTACGAGAAGCACCTAACTGCATCACGAGACAAGCCCTCACATGCAACTCTCAAGGTAAAAAGAACAGAGGAGTGCCAAGAAACACATTAAGCCGAGAAATATAAAAAGATATGAGAAGAATGAACGAAATTTGGACAGAACTGGAAAGGGAAGCTCAGGACAGAGTTGGTTGGAGAAAACTGGTCACGGGTCTATGCTCTATTGGGGGTAACAGGCGTAAGTAAATATGTAAGTACGTATTTACTTTCTTTCCCTTTTTTTCTGATTCTCTTTTTAATAATCAGATTCTTCCCCCTCCTATTTATTTATTTTCTTCTTTTTCTCTGTAGCACCTGATTGTCATTTATGTTTAACAAATTATAATTTATCTTCAATAAATAATCAACATTGTTCATTTATATCATCACATCATGCTACTATATTCTATGATGATTGGACACAACATTATGAATTAATTAATTATAGTGAATATGGTACACGTGTTGATGGTATCATGTATGGTAATGATATTGAGAAAAAATCAATATATATTCCAAAAGTAAGTGGATTTTTATTGTATCATTGATTGATTATTATTATTTTATCTGATTTCAAATGGGTACATACAAAGCAAAGCGAAGGGAAGTGAAGTGAAGTGGAGAAGGTGCGAGTGAGTCGATGATTGATCCATTCATGGTTTCAAACAATGTGTAACTTAACAATCTTCACAACAACCCCGTAATGCAAATTACCTGTGCTCACTAGTGACTAGCTTCATGAGGAATCTTCTCAGAGTTCTAGTGGGTGGGAAGACGTGACCAGTGAAGTGCAACCTGTTCGGGTGTAGACTGTGTATGAGGTTGCGCAACTCCGTGAATTTGATCAAGTTAGACATTAACACCGTTAGATTACTGGCTCGGTGGTCTAACGGTTAGGTCGTTCGCGCACAATACCGGAGGTCCTGGATTTCGAGTCCTGCGGGGTGCAGGAGTCGTGGATGCGCACTGTCACTGATGAGTCCCATACGAAGATGGAACGGCCGTCCAGTGCTTCCATGTTTCTATT